GCGGTAGGCTCGCGCACGCGATGTCGGGGCTTTGAGAGGCCGACGAAGACATACCCTCGACGCTACCTCCTCCGTTACCACCACCACCGTTGCCGCCGCCACCACCACCCCCGTTACCACTGCCACCACCGCCTCCACCGCTCCTACCAACCCCCGTTTCGTGCACGACCTCGTGCTGATGCTGCTGCTGTTGATGATGGTGGTGATGGTGGTGGTGGCTGTGATGGTGATGATGATGGTGGTGGTGGTTATGATGCCTACCCCCACCGACCACGATACCCCTACCGCCACCTCCGCTACCACTTCCTCCTCCTCCTCCTCCTCCTCCTCCTCCTCCGGCGCCTCCGCCTCCTCCACCACAGTTCCCATTCGAGCCGCCCCCACCGCCCCGGCCATGCGTAGACACCGCCGCCGGGGAATCGACCGAGTCCAGTAATTGCTCGCTATGCGATTGATGATCGCCTATGTCCCCTATACCTTCCATTTACGCACATCTAGTTCGGTAGTGGGCGCACTGCCACTCGCTCCTTCGCTGTCGTACGCCGCCGACCACGACACACCGTACCGCGTGCCGCACAGATCGCACCGTACCGCAACACTACACAGAGCGCGCGCGTTATAAGTTTTTCTTTTTTTTTCTCGCGAGGAGCACTCGCTACTCTCTGTTCTCTTCTTCGTTCACGTCGAGTATAATCGTCGTTTCGAGAGGGTTGTTACGATCCTCTCCCGATCACTGACCCTCAGGTGATCTCAGATCACTGATTACCGCACGACCGCGAAGCGACGACGTATACGATCATCTCGACAACTACCCCGCGAATAGAGCGCGTAAGCGAACGACGACGACGACGACGATGACGACGACGACGACGCTGATGCTGAGGCTCCACCGTCACGTCGGATCGGCATAGGGAGCACCCGGTGATAGCGCAACGACCACCGTGCGCCCATGACACCGCGCGAGTACGGAGCGAGTGAGAGCGCACGCTCTCTGCGCTCGCGCGCCCGAGTGTGAGCGCACCCAGCACCGGCTCTTCCCGGTGGAAGAGACGAGGAGAGAACGAGAGTGAGAGTGAGAGTGAGAAAAAAAAAGAGAGAGTGAGAAAGAGAGCGCGAGCCACCAGGCGGACCCAGAATACAGAGACGAAGTGGCGTGAAGGGGGTTACGACTTCACCGCGCTCGGTCCCGCACCGCCGCCGCCTCCGTTACGTTTCGTTCCGTTCTCTATCGGGGACTTGTTCCGCTCCGCCCCCTTCCCCTAACGGTCCCTACCCCGGGTGTTCCGAGTCACACTACCGGCACCGCTGCCACCTGGTCCGCTCTACTACCACTAATATCACTACCGCTGTTCCGCTCGCGCGCTTCTTCGTGTCGCGTGCCACGAGTTCCTCTCCTGGTCCAGGTGCGACCGCGTCTCTGTCTTCCTCTTCCTCCTTCCCCCCCTGTCCCCGTCACGTGTCAGTTTGTTCGTTCGTTCGTTCGTTCGTTCACGGAGGGGAGTCGTTCGCTCACACACCGCACCACCACTGTCACTATCACTACACCAGTACACCGTCAACGGAACCGTTACCGTTGTACCTGCGCGCTGGTCCCGTTCGCGCCTTTTCTCCCCACGAATGAGGATTCACGTCCACGTGAAAGCGAAACCCAGTGCCAGAAGAATCTCGCTCTCTTATTTCACGCGACGTTTCGCGGACGATTACGAGAGTTTCTAGACAGTTAGCCCGGAAGACGACTGTCGACCTTCGCGATTGTCTTTTCGTGCCCCTTTCGCTCGACGAGGCTGCAAGGGTGCGACGATAACTTCGTACGTACGGAGCGTTAAGTGACAGAAGCGACCCCTTACCGGTCACACTCGCCGGCTGAAGCCCACCACCATCAACGGCGCGCCACTAGGGGTGTGTGGGTGACACGAACACCCACCGCCCACCACCGTCACGACACGACGACAACCACTACCACCGCTGCCGCCACCAGCACCACCAGCAGCAACTACGACGCCGCCGCCGACGTCGCCGCCGCTGGCGTCAGTCAGCTTTCTATCGATTTTCCGATACCTCGTGACCAACGTAGCTCGATGCGCGCGGCTCGATACTTCGAGCATAAACATCGACTCGCGTCACCCGCGTCCGCCGCCACCGCGTCCCGCTCGACCTCGACCCAGCGATGTGCGGCTGCTGATACGAAAGCTGCTCCGGATTCGACGCAACTCGATTTGCGATTCGATTCGCGATCGTCGTCTGTCTTTCCCGACAACACGTCGTCTGTCTTTTCCGGCGAGAGATTTTTAAAAGTCTCGGTATACTCCGAAAAGCCTCCTCATCGCGAGACGTCCGCGATAATTCTCCGGTTCTCTTTGCGAATCGGTCTTTCGATTCTGATAAACTTCCTTTTTCCCCGAACTAGGTCGCCTACGTAGTAGTTACTTCACCGCGGGAAGTTACTTTGCCCAAGTGCGCCAAGTTTCTCGAGTTCACTGCAGACTTTTGCTCCTCTTCTCCATCTTCTTGGAAATCGTTGTGACCGGTCCAAATTGTTCAACGAGTATCGCCGATCCATTCGGTCGATCGCCGAATCGATACATGTCGGCCGGTCCGACACGAACCGCGACGTCCGTTTGTGCGCGCACGCGCGGAAATCGCCGTCGAAATCGCCAGTCTCGTTCGCCGCCTCCTCTTCAGGATCGAAACGTCGATACGCCGATAAGGGTTGCCTCGTCCACCATGATGGCGCGTCGCGTATGGAGATTCGCTCTTCAAGATGTCCTCCTGTGACCGCGAGAACGAACGATCCGCGAGAACGATAACTCGATCGGGCGACACCGATGGCAGAATTTGCACACACGCGTGTACAGAGCATACACACAGGCACATACACACACACACACACACACACACACACACAC